TGGATTAATAATTTGAATGGTCTTCTGGGCGTCATCTACAGGCAAATGGAATGTGGATGGGAGAAGTAGGTCACTGGGGGTGTGCCTTGGGAATTATATCTTGTCTATGTCTCCCCACTCTGCTCCCTGGCTAACATAAGTTAAGCAGCTTTCCTCTACCACACTCTTCCATCATGATGTTCTGCCTCACATTGGCCACAGAGCAATGGAGTTGGTCAACCACAGTCTAAGACCTCTGAAACCCTGAGCCCAAAATAAAYTTTTCCTCCTCTAAGTTGTTCTTGTTGGGTACTTTGGTCACAGTGACCCAAAAAAAAAAAATGACTAACACCTTATATTCACAGAATTACTTTCCCCTCTATACAAATACAAATGTAGTCAAATGAGGAAACACTTTACTTGCAGGGAAATACAGTAAATTTTTGTTGTGGATCCACCACCAATTTGAATTCTGAAATGGTCAAGTCAACTTCTAAAAGTCAAGACAAAAACATATAATTACAATAATTTTAAAAAATCAAGTGCAAGTAAAATTACAAATATATTTTCAAAAAAAAAAAGTCTTTTTCCTAATGTTTTTAAAGAGTCCAGAAATAGAATTTTTTAAAAAAAATTAGTCACACTTGAGCCCAGATAAGAGCATTATAACAATTGTACAATTAAGAGGTCTTTTTCAATCCCTTTTTGGACACCAAAGCTGATCATGTGTAATATAGATTTACATATTATTACACAATATCAATATTAAAGAATACCACACAGAAACATGAGTATATTTAAGAGACACAAATTGCACTATGCTAACTTTAAAGTATAATAATATGGCTAATCAGTGTCATCTCTCATTTTATGAATCTATAAATAAGTATGGATTCTGTAAGTTGATTAAAATCTATGATTTTTTTTACCCTGAAATATTGTGGACCATAAAATTTAAATATAATTTTCTTAATACTAACCAGTTTTATCTTTCACAAACAGTATAACCAAAGACTGGATTTTAAAATCTCAGAAATTTATTACAACATTTTGCTTCTTCCAAACAAAGCAGTTTTAGTTGCTTTTAACCATTTTCCCCTAACATACGATTTCATGGCTATTACACCATATGATTTGAATACGCTGCAAGGTAACACTCCTAACTGGACAGTTAAGGTATGTCTGAATTGGTCACCCTTTTCTGGAAGAGTTGATTATTTTCCATGAGAATGAAAGAGTTTTACATTGAAGTCTTTTGCTTCAGATGGCTAATGGATAAATCAATTACACAGGCAAGAGGAGTGAATGGAAATAATTGGGTATCTCTTTCCTTATAACTTAGTCTTATTGACCCCATGTACATAGTATCATCTCAATCTAAATGAAGGTAAACTTGTTAGAGCCTCTGAAATTCAGGTTTGCATACTATTTTTTATTCTCTAATTTATTTCTGAATTTAGTCCTTAATTGGAGAGATCTACCAACACTATTCCTTAATATTAAAAAGAGGCAAAAATTTCAGTTTATGGGGAAATACATGGGAAATGATGTCCCTATGAAAATTAAAATATTGCTGGGGTCCCAGGATTTAAAGATTTGTTGGTATTCTCCACTAAATTTCCCAGCTTGTTTTGTTTTGTTTTTCGATMCTACAACACCAACTTTTTGCCTGATGTTGATGATTATAAACCAAAACTTCTCCTTAACGATAACAGGAAATAAAAGAACCAAACTTTTCTAGATGAGCCCACTGGTAATTCCCAACTCCAAGGTGTACAGACCTCATTTACTATTTTTTAAGAGCAGCCTTTCTCAGTATAAGAACATGATGCAATTTGGAAAAGGTGCTCAAACCAGCACCATTCTAACGCATATAGCATGTCCTTGCAAAGGATCCCAAGAAGTCACCACAGATACATGACCAGCAAGATTGTTTGGCCCAGACAGCATGTGCTTAACAATTCCATGAAAAACACAATTGCGGAAATGGCATATGTTTGACACACCATGCAGGACCAGCTGGGCCCTGCTTCCTCCAGGAAATTCCAGCTGGGTTACAGGGCGGCAACTTTCCAAGACCATGATTCCCTTTAGGCCACCAGAGAGTCACAGGAGTTTGGGGTTCCTCATGGTTCACTGGATCCATGTGGTCACCATGCAGACACATGTTGTCAGTAGACATGGTGAGTGAGCCCAGCTTGGCATTTCCTTACAGGCCTTGCTCTTCAGTGCCCTCTAAGGTGACCCATTCCCCCAGCCCAGCTTGCAATTGCTGCTCACTTTGACTTTACCTTTGTTTTTGATGACAAAATATTCAGCTTCCCCCACTCCTAGGAGTTTCACTCTGTGCCTCTCTTGACCTGAGGTAATTTAAACCTATTTCCTTCCTTGCCTTCTTAAAAGGAGGCTTAATGGAATTTTGAATTTTTCCTATTACAAAAATTCTTAATGTTTTTGTCAGGAGAGATTTGAAATATCACATAAAATGATGTACTCCCATCCCTCACCACCACCTCCAAATAACTGAATTACATAAATAAAACATTACGTGAAAAGTGCTTTTCTACAATTTATGGGAAGTAAATTTAACAAGAGCTGGCTCATTGTAGGAAAATTCAACTTATCTTTTCCTGATCCTTTTATTCTATACAGGGAGAGAAATTTATGTCAGTTAAAAAAAATCTATTACTGCTTCTCATAACGGAATCCATTATTTTTCTCCATGATCCATCAGGGTAAAAACAAGAATAATRGATTGCTTTGACAGAACCTTGAACATAAATGTCCCAAAGAATCAAACATAGTAAGTTAAATGAGTTTCAGGTGGTATTAAAACAGGAAAGGATAACCTCCATTTTATATTTTAAAACCAAATCTTACTTAAAAATTTATTATTATCAGCTACTACAAAAAGACAGATTATATAGTAGTAGAATTTGCACAGTGAAATGGGAATATTTCCAATCATTCCTATATATGCCCAAGCAGAACTGAACCAAAAAAAAATGAACTCAGGAAAAGAAATTATTTTAATTTTATAATTCTTTTAATCTTATAAATAACTGGTTATTTATAATCTACTTGATTTTATTAGTCTAGATGACTTTAAATAAAGTTATCCTATACTCAGCCTACAGACTAAAAATATTGTTGACCTTATTTTATAAATAGTATCACTTCTATGCATGGCTCTATAAACTTTAGTGCCRTGAGACTTATTTTAGTCTAAGGTCCTGGAACAATTCAAATGTATATGCACATACCTATCTGCCTAACACAAATATGTAGGGAGAATGTGGAGGAAGGTGATAGGTATATACATGCCTACGTTAATTCTAATAGTTAATCCCTCTCACGGGATTTTCTCAATGCACAGCTATCCAGCCTCTAATCTCTAATTTTTTTCAGATAAACCAAAAACCAACTTGTCTCCAGGGAAGGTAAACTACATTCCCAGTTTTAGTGGCAGACCTTCTCCAAAACCAATCAACACAGAGCATTCACATTAGGTGTATTATTGGTTCATATCTGGGCAGGTGACTCAGGTTGACTTGAGCAGAAAAATAAGAATGATTTTTATGCAAACTTGGGAGATAAGTTTCCCATTTTTCTCTTGTTGGATGAGGCATAGAAAAAGGAATCCCAGTTGCCACAGACAGACATCTGTGACCATGAGAATGAAAACAACATTGATGGTAGAGGGGAGGGTCGGAAAGGTCATGGGTCTTGATTGACATCATTGGGCTGTTAATGATATTATACCCCAAACTCTCTCTACCTCTTGCTCCCAGTTAAAAGAGTTCACAAATTTACTGATTGCTTATTCCATATTGATTGAAGGTTTTTGMAACTTCTTTTAAAGAAAAATAAGAAAATATACTCAAAATATCCTGATTTACCATGGCACATTTCATTCATTTTTCTGTGCATCAGAACATCTTTGAACATATATTTGTCTTTGAAACCACCTTGAAGAAGTCCTTCTCCTTCTCAATTGGAGAATTTAACACAGCCATTGCTTAAGAAAACAGTAACATTGCTACCAATGTCAATGTATATTGAAGGTAGTTAAAACCTTGTCCTAAATTCAGTTGTTATTACTAGACTCTATATCTGAAATTGAGCTTGACCTGCTTTGTGGTCAATTAAAAACTGGCCTGAAGGTACTGCTCTTTTGTAATTATTCAGAAGGCCACAGCCATTCTACAGCTTTCCTTTTATTTTTCCTAAACTTCTTTAGTACCTGTTTCTCAGATTTTGTGGGCTATTAGGTGTTTCTCACATATATCTGTGCATAATAACTCATCAGCTTTGCAAACTAATTCTTTAACATTGAGATTAAAACTAACATAGATGATTCTCAGATGACACATACTGAGGTATAGAAAAATTCCATCATTTCCTTCCACAAAATGAGAAAGATTTTAATTCTTTTTCTCAACAGCTGCTTCATTTTTTTATGCATAGGAAAAAATATGTGCAATTACTTCAAGTACAATCAAGTCATTTAACACGGCTTTGCCATCATTGTAGTTAAAGGATATTTTAAAAGAGAAAAAAAAAATCTCAAAGCACAGGTCCTGCTGTGCAGCAAAGCAATCAAATTCCTTCATAATAACAGCCTGATGGGATTCAGCAATCCGAGGAATAATGAATAACGGCTCTAATCAGTAAACAGGAAAATGCTACAACAGTCACTGAGTAAAAATTGACTATCATCTGTTGATTCTCTTGATCGGCTTTTCAAACAATAAATAGAAATATAAGTGTCTCTTACAAAGAAAAATAACTTCATTTAGTTTGTTTGATTTTATCAGGCAGTGAGAAAATGATACATCATCTTAGACTGTCCGGCAGTATTTCCTAGTCAATAAAATGCACATATAAATTTTTTTATAATGCATGGCCAAATTTGCCCTATTACTTGAATATGTCAAGAAAACTGATTTTGCAGTTCGTTGATAAAATTGAAGATTGTATTTCTTTATTAGTTATTCTTTTTTCTTAATTCTTAATTACTTCTTCTTCAGTATTCATCTTATGAAGTTATTTGTATCTGAATATGAAGACTCTGCTTCAAAATAGTCCTCAAGTTTCCAATGCAGTGTCTCAAATGTTGGTCGTTCCTTAGGCTCTGCATTCCAGCACTCCAACATGATGTTGTAGAATTGCTGAGGACAGGTAGATGGCTGTGGAAGTCTATAGTTTTGTCCCAACAACTGGATTACTTGAGTACCTGTCATGCCTGAAAAATATAACCAACAAAAGAGGGGGGCATGGACTAGACTCTTCAATCCACAGACACTTAAACTCTAAGTTACAAAGCAAATTGATTTCTTTGATAAAGCTGTGAGATCTACCATACCCTTTACAGGTTGCAGAGATTAAACGACACCCTGCAGCAAGTAATGTCTATAAGACTGCAATTCAGGAGCAAAGGAGAAGGAAGCAATAAACCACCTCATTAATGCAAATTATCACCATCAAATTTTATCTATCTAGCTCCCACAGGCACATGGTATGGTCAGCCTCATAACTCTGCCCTCTAAGTCTGGGCAAAGCAGTTAAAGTCACACCTAAGTAAGTGACCTGCAGCAGAAAGGCCCACTTCAGAATTAATTACTTACCACTATACGGCATTTTGCCATAAGTAATGATTTCATAAAGAAGGATTCCAAATGACCACACATCGGACTTAATGCTGAATTTATTAGTACGAATGGCTTCAGGTGCAGTCCACTTCACCGGCAGCTTTATTTCGTGTTTAGATTCATAGATGTCTTCATTATCTACCTGTTAATGCATTAAGGATTCAAGCCAATTTAAAGTGATTTTTTTTTTTTGCTGCCCTCATTCATTTATAACCAGTTTCACATAAAACTTAGAGGGAAAATACCAAAAAAAATGAGCTTAGATCAATTGATAATTAGCATAACAAATTCTGACTCTGACATTCAAGACAGAAACAATCTGTGGGAAGTCATCCATAAAATATTTGAGAACCTACTATGTATTAAGAATAATATTGGAAGGAACATCCTACTATGTATAGAAGAATTCATACATAATGGGATTCTGACTTCCCATCTGCTGTTTACCAAATGGAAAAATGGAAGCAAAATAGGTCTGGTCTTTTTTAAATTTAATTCTGGTATTTAAGAGTCAATGACTTTGATAATTACCATGTAACCAGTTTGCTAATATTAAAAAGTAGAATCCAAATGATTTAAATTAATATATCATCTCATTGGTCTCCTAATTAATTTACACAAAGAAAAGATGGTTTCATGAGTATCAACATGAGAATAATTTATTTGTTATGTTTTCTGGCCCAAATCCATATTTTTAGGATACAATATGGGAAATTTAAAATTAAATTCAGAGATTAATACCTCATTCTATGTCTTTATCTTAGTGTTTTTTGAATGGATGTCACCCACTGAGTGGGGAGGAAGAATTAAAAAGCCAATAATTGGCCAGCATGGTGGTGCACACCTGTCATCCCAGTGGCTCGGGAGACTGAGGCAGGAGGATCATGAATTTAAAGCCAGCCTCAGCAACAAAGATGTGCTAAACAACTCAGTGAGACCCTGTCTCTAAATAAAATACAAAATAGGGCTGAGGATGTGGCTCAGTGGCTGAGTGCCCCTGAATTCAATCCCTGGTACCTCCTCCCTAAAACAAACTAACAAAAAAGCCATTAATTGCTCTAGAATTCTGGCAATAGGTAAATGAGTAGATAAAATGAGCAAAGGTGGATAGGGTAACTGTACAAAGTGTCCTGGTTTTTATACAGGACAAATAGAAGCTACTTTTACTGATTGAAAAATAGGTCATACGTTCAACCAAAACAATGGTATCATTTTCAATTCAGTTGATTATTTTTTTTTCCTCCTTAATGAAGAAATGGGAAGAAATGTGTAGTTTGTCTATAAGATCTTCAGCTACTTGAAATGGTCTATGGACCACATAACTTTGAGGAACACTGCTTTAAATAATAGTGAATTTATGGGTCTATCAGTCTGTTGGACTTTTAACCTATTACAAAAGCTAATTAAAACAAAACTAAACTTACCTTAAAAACTCTTGCCAGTCCAAAATCTGCTACTTTGTAGATATTATGCTCACCAACAAGGACATTTCTGGCAGCCAGATCTCTGTGGATGTAGTTCTGGGACTCCAGATAGGCCATTCCAGAAGCAACCTGTGCCGCCATGTCTACCTGTTGAGGCAGATGGATTCTTGATCCAGCATCATCTAAGGAACAAGAGAAAATAAGAGATTTATTCTGGAAAGTATTTKAACTATTGAAGTGAATTCTGACAATTTTGATGAATGAGATATTGATAGAATTATGTGCCATGGTACTGATCTGCTAAGAAAGGAGCAAGGGTATCAAATAATCCAAAGATAGGAGCAAGTTTCTAAATGAGTCCAGTTACTGCCATTTTTTCAATACCACATTTCACCAATTTATCTCTTCATGGAAACTGTTGCTTAGGTACTTTCGGATTACTTTTAAACTTTACATAGTTTATTTTAGTCATTGAGCTTATAGTGGTCCTAATTTGCATGGCTGAACAAATGAAAAGTTCACATTTTTTTAAGAGTTTTCTTAAAAACTGGTTCACTAATAAAAATGAAGAGTCTAGCAGTAGTTACAAAATGTGCATATTGCAAGTGGTGAACAGAAGGATTGTCAAGTTCAAAGACAGCATCAGCAACTTAGGAAGACCCTAAGCAGCTTAGTGAGACCCTGTATCTAAATAAAATATATTTTTAAAAGGGCTGGGGATCTGGTTTAGTGGTTAAGTGCCCCTGAGTTCAACCTGCAATACTATATATAGATATAGATATAGATATAKATACATATATATGTATATAAAACATTTGTACCTCTAAGTTTAATATGTATTTTTTAAAATTTTGCTTTCTTAGTCTGTTGTTCCTAGAATAAGTTGCTCATCTCTCTAAGTACAAACATACCTTTAATGGGCAGCATTTCACCTACTGCTCATTCTGTAAAACTAACTACAGGAAATTTAGGTAGTAGGATCAGTTTTATCATTAGTAAAAGAGGTCCATGCTATTTTATGATGACTTTACAAAATAGAGTAAGTCAACTTATCTGCCATACTATTGATAGGTATCTTCAGATTTTGTTTTTTAAAGTTTCACATAAATACAAATTATTATTATCCCTGTGTGACTAAGTAAAATACTATTACACAGAATCCATTGGTCTTATGAACATGAGGTTTAAACACAAGCCCTGATTTGAGTGCTCACTAAAGCACAAGATTAAGGAAAACTGGCTTAAAGCTGTCAGACTTGAGATCATGGCTGGGCCTCATATTTCTCTATAACCGTAAGCAAACTGTTTAGCACCCCTGTACCTGAGTTTCCTCATCTATATAGTGGTAACAGTAACTCTTACAGTATTAATTTTTTAAATGAGAGTCAAAACAATTGAATACATGTGCAGCACTTAAAACAGTACCTGGTATCTAGGAAAAACACAATAAATCCTAGCTCTTAATGTTATCATTGCTCCTAAGCAAAATGAAACATTTTGGGACTTGTTAAGCTCAAGATATATATAAATTACCAATGTGAAAATGGCTGAAAGAAGAGGGGTTTATGAGTCTAGAGTTCAGACAAGAACTTTCAGCTAAAGACATAGATTTAATGGTCATAGTTTGAGTGGGAGTTAAAACATAAAAAGTGGGTGAGGTCCTAGGAAGATATAGATTCATAAGAAACACAAATAATTGAGGGTGAGCACAGGAATCGAACCTGACAAAAGAAAATTGAGAAGAATCAGCCACAATCATAAGAGAGGAGAATGTTTTAACAAATGAAAAATTGTGAGAAAGAAAATGTGTCATCATAGTCAAGTTTCGCAGATAAGTTCAATAAGACAAGGACTAAGAAGGCTGTGTTAAATATAAGAATGAGGGGGCTGGGGATGTGGCTCAAGCGGTAGCGCGCTCAGCACCACATACAAACAAAGATGTTGTATCTGCCAAAAACTAAAAAAAAAATAAATATTAAAAAAAAAGAATGAGGGAGTCATTGGTGAAGGGTTTTATTTGAGATTGTGTGTAAGAGGCCAAAGGGTAACTTGGAGATGAGGACATACAGACAGACAGCAAGAGGAGATGGAAAATTTCAAAACCCTAGTCAAAAAGGGAAGGCAATAAGGATCTGGTAGAGGTRAATGAAATGTCATAGGAAAGCCATTATCGAATTCAGAAAAGTGGGGAGTTGTGATGGTTAAAGTATTCCAGGGTCTGTGGGGTGCTTGCTGACTGTGTTCTAATTCTTGATTTGGACAGTAGCTGCATAGTTGCTTACTTGTGCATGTTATAATTACATGTCAAACTATGCTACATGATTTATGTACTTTCTATATAAATGCTATCTTTTCTGATAAAAAAATGAAAGAGTCAAAGGAATTTTTAAATGAGAAAGACTTAAACACAGCAGGTGTGTGTGTGTGTGTGTGTGTGTGTGTGTGTGTGTATGTGTGTGTGTGTGTGTAAAAGGCAGAAGCATATTTAAATTGGTTGTGAGGTAAAACTAACTGCTCACCTATCCTTTTGTCCTTTACTTTCTTTTATCCTGGGCACTAGCAGAAGACCACATTGCCCACCTCCCTTTGCAATTAAGTAGGGCCATGTCACTAGTTCTGGGCAACACAGTGTGTTCAGAAATGATGTACATCACATATAGGACCTCACATCTCTATGGCTAGAGGAACAAATTTAAAAATTTTAGGAAAGAGTCTAATTCCCTAAAAGAGTAGTCTAAGCCCTATCAAAATTGTTATGTGTGTTCTGCCACTGAGAGTTTTGAATTGTGTATTACAACAGGTAACATTAATTATTCAGTCTACAACAAAATGTAAATATAAAGATAAAATATAACTCTGTAAAAAAGCATAATGGCAAAGCCTGGCTGCTGTGATGGTCAAAAGAGCTATGCCTTTTGATATCACATCCACTCAAAAAAAGAAACAATGACATTAAGAGAAGCTGGTAACTGACCATAAGCTATGTGGCAGGCAGCTTCTAAAATAGCTTGCAGTGATCCTGCCTCCTGGAATTCACACCTTTCCAAGAGTCCTTTCCATTGGACTGTTCTGAACCCAGTGACTCACATCTGGCAGAGACTACGGCAAGAGTAATGGGGTCTCCCGGGTTAACTCAAAAACGACTGTGACTTCATCTTACTGATGCTCTGAATTCCATCACTTTCTTGCTTGTTCACTTTAATGAAGCAAGCTGCCATGTTAGAAGCTACCCTCCACATCAAGGAGCATGGGCCACTCTCCAGCTAACAACCAGCAAGGAGCTGACTCCCCTCAATTCTGCAGCCAGGAGGAACCAACTCCTGGCAATCATAAGAGTGAGTTTGGAAGTGAATCCACATCCACTAGAGCCTTCAGATGACTGGGACACCTGCCAAAACCTTGGCTGCAGCCTTATGAAACCCAAGGCTAGAACCTGGCTAAGCTGCTCCTGGATTTCTGACCACAGAAACTGTGAGATAATAAATGTTTGCTGCTTTAAGCTTCTAATTGTTGGGGTACTATCAAACCAGACTTCAACCTTGGAAAAGTCATCCAAGGTGTCTATTACTCAGTTTCTTCAATTGTAAAGTAGGGGTAAGAATGATACTTAGTTCATAAAGTGGTTCAAAAATGAACTAAGTTAACACTTGTAAAGAACTTAGAAAAATGACTGCCAYATCCACTGGTCCTTACCTCTGTTTAACTCCAACAGGCCCCCGACCTGGTTCTCCATTACCTCTTTGGCCTTATCTTCAGCTTTGCCCTTGTTATTGCAATGTCACGACAGTGGCCTCTGTGATTCTTTCTACTCCACAGGCACACTTTTATGTTACCTCCAGCCCTTTGCACTTGAGATTTCTTATGCCCRTTTTTTTGTTTTGTTTGTTTGTTTGTTTTAATTTATCCACATGGTCACTTCTCATTTCCTGGAAGTCTTTACTCAGGTTATTCCATCTTGGTAAATCATTCACTGGTCAACTGTCAACTTTTGTTTGTTTGTTTCTGGGGTGTGAACTCAGGGGTTCTCAACCACTGAAAAACATCCCAGCCCTATTTATTTATTTATTTATTTCCTTCCTTCCTTCCTTCCTTCCTTCTTTCCTCCCTCCCCTCCTTCCTTCCTTCCTTCCTTCCTTTCTTCCTTCCTTCCTTCCCCATAGGCCTCTCTCATTTGAGAGAAATTTATTACCAAAAAAAATCAGCCAAGCTTGGGGACTACAAAGACTGGAATATAGAGAAATATGATTAGAAATATGTATGTTATTTCAAATATCAAATACAATACCTAATCCCATTACAGTGCATATAAAAAGGTTTTTACTGGAAAGTACAATACTGGAAGAAATTGGGTAATACACATTTCCTATCCTGAAGAGCAGTGACCTAGGGACTGCCTAAGTAAAGAGCAGAGCACATCTATACAACCAGACAGCAAAGCTGATGGAAATGTTCACAAACCTGTGACAGTTTATATCTGCAAAAAAATAAAAAATAAAAAATAAATTGCATTCTACTACTAAAGAGACTTTTACGTTAATGATACTTATCTTGATGAGCTACTTATGAATGGCAGATTCACTTTAAGATCTATCTATTAAATCTACAACTCTTGATTGGGAACAAGTATAAATTCACTGTTCCTCTAAACTGGTAGGTACTCTTACAAATGAATGCCTTGGTAATGTTGCCCCTGATGGCCTAATCCAGCAGATGGTAGGGTTTGCACACAGCCTTGAGTACCACATCAATCACAGAAATCCTCAATGCCCAAGGAGTTTGCAGTATAGTTAACTGGATCTTTTCAAGATGATACCAAGAATTGCAAAACTAGCTTGACTCTCAATCCCACTCTTACTATAAGAATGGTCTCAACTTATTTATTCAGTCAACACATAATCAGTGCACACCTTCTATGTAACACTCTGTTCTAGCACTAAAAAAAACAACAAAATAAAAATTCTACCCTTATGGAATTGCATTTAGAAATACTAAAGTCAGGTGTAGTGGTACACACCTATAATACCAACAATTTAGGAAGCTGAGACAGGAGGATCACCTCAGCAACTAAGTGAGGCCCTAAGCACCTTAGCAAGACTCAGTCTCAAAATAAAAAATAAAAAGAGCTAGGGATGTGGCTCAGTGGTAAAAGTGCCTCTGTGTTCTAATATCCAATACCAAAAAAAAAAATCTAAAATACTAAAAATAAGCTAAATAAATGTCATGCAACATAAGATGATTAACAGCTAAGGAGAGAACACCAAAGAAGAATATGAAGAGGAAAATGAAGAAGGAATATGAAGAATCAGGAGATTAAGCTTTACAGTTTGACAAGTGAGCCAGGTGCAGTGATGTATCGTGTAACCCCAGCAACTCGGGAAGCAGACATAGAAGAAGCACAAGTTCAAAGCCCGCTTCAACAACTTAGCAAGACCCTGTCTCAAAAAATAAAATAATAAAAAGGGCTGGGGATGTAGCTCAGTGGTAGAGCATTCCTGAGATGACCAGTGAACAACTTACCAAGGTAGAATAACCTGAGTAAAGACTTTCAGGAAATGAGAAGTGATTATGTGGATAAATATTTTTAAAAAATCAAGCAAAAAAAATCTCAAGTGCAAAGGGCTTGAGGTAAAATAAAAGTGTGCCTATGGAATAGAAAGAACCACAAAGGTCACTGTAGTGACACTTCAAGTACACGGACAAAGTTGTAGATAAGGCCAAAGAGAAAGTTGTAGATAAGACMTGGAAAACCAGGTCAGAAGGAATTAAACCAGAGGTAGAACCAGTGGGAGTCTCAGAAGGTTTTAAGCTGAGGAAGAACAAGCTCTGACTTATACTTCAACAAGATATCTCCAGCTGCTGTGTTGAGGAAAGACTAAAGAGGACAAGAAGCCAAAGAGGGAGACCAAGAGGGTGCAGAATCCAAAGTGGAGGTCAATGATTGCTTGAACCTTAGTGGGAACATTGAGAAAAGGGGAAAGACTGGGTATGTTTTCAAGGCCAGCCAATAGGATTTCTAGGTTGGCTAGGTAATGGGATGTAAGAAGCAAAAATGCCTCCCAGGTATTAGACCTGAATGTTGTCATTGTCCAAGAAGGAATTAAACAAGAGTAGCAGATCACCATGGAGAATCAGGTTTGGACATATCACTTTGAAACGTCTAATTGTCATTTGGAGTAGAAATTAGGGTTGCTCACAAACATTTTCCCCATTTTTGCAAGGCACTTTAGTGGATTGTACTGCCTATTCCATTGGACTTGATTTGACCAAATGAAAAGGGTACAGAAGTGACAAAAGTTAAGAAGCTTTAAGAGCCAGGATGAGATTGGTCCCATCCCCTTTCCCTACCAAGGWGATCAAAAGAGCTGAGCTACCAATCTATTTTACACACAAAGCACAAGTAAGGAAAAAACTATTGCTGTGCTGAGCCTCTGAGATTTGAGGACCGTGGCTGCAGTCTGGACACCTGCACTGTCCAGACTGATACAACATTCCAGTAGAGAGGGCATGAAGGCAGCTGGGTGTATTATTCTGAAGTTCCAAGGTAGGGATAAAATTTGAGGAACTCTCGATACATAAACATTCAAACAATGGAACTGGGTGAAGTTAACAAAGGAAGCCAAGTGCAATGATGCACACATATAATCCCAGCTACTTAGGAGGCTGAGGCGAGAGGAATGGCAGGTTCAAGGCCAGCCTGTTCAAAGCATTGGCACCCTATSTCAAAATTTAAAAATAAATTAAAAATTGAAGAGATTAACAAAGGGATTAATGGTATTGCAAAATAATCCTGGAGAACTCCAGAATGTTGAGAGGTCTGGGAGAAAATCACTTATTGAGAAGAACCAATGAAGAGGAGGATAAGTGATCAGGTTAACTATCTTGGAAGCCAAACGAAGCAAGAGACTTGAATGCTCCTGATAGATTTGAATACCAGAAATTGACAATTAGATTAGTAATGTACATGCTGTAAGGACTCTTATAATATGCACATTGTAATATGCACTTTGTTAGATCTAGCCCAGGATCATTCTTGTACTTTTTCCTGAATAAGGCAAAAGGAGTCAACAATTGAGGTCAGTCTTTCTGTGGTGGGTAGCATTCTAAGGGTGATAAATGTGATGATCTTTATGCAATAGGTAAGTATATTTTTGTTTTTAACAGAATTTATTATGTTATATATATTCTCCATTCTTTTGTTGTTGTTGTTTTGAAATTTAGAATTATCAGCTTCACAAGTCACCCTGAAATCAGAGAACACTCTTATCTTTCTGATACCTTTGTTCCATTATCCTCACCTCCTTTTGCCTCTATATAGCCTATCAGTCTCGCTCTGACATTTCAAGAAATTACAGGAAAAGTCTGTTTTTCAAGCATGAATGATTCTCTCAGTATTTGATCTCAATTTCTTTGAATATCATATTTTAATGTGTATTATTTTATTGTTTATTAAATTATTCATTTGTAATAAACATCACAATTTCACAATGCCCTTAAGTCCTTTTTGACTGCAGAAAGTGGATGGAGGAATAAAGCTAATAGTATATTTTTGCCTTTTAGTCTGAAAATTCTAATGTTGCCTAGCAGAGAGGTCATTTTTAACACCCAGTACAATATTAGCAAATACTGACAAAGACAAAAACGTCAGATACCTCTCTTGCTCTTTTCCCTGATGTTTCCCATGTTCCAGATTCTGTACCATAGAAAATATGGCTGACAGTGTTCAATTAGTGTAAAAAGTAGAGCATTATGCAAAAAATCCATTGATCAGTTTCCCACATTACATTTAAGCTCTCTGATGTGTCTATTGTGAACAATTTATTCTTCCACTACATAAATATTTTTCTCCCTTTGAGTCCGCAGAATATATCCTATTAAATAGTAGTTGAGCCATTCAATGTTACAGCATTCATTCTTACAGATAATACACATGGTAAATATCCTTTGGGTTAGACAAAGCTGGCTAAATTGACATTTATAGGACTAGCTAAACTAAATTCCTCCTTTTCTTTTTTCCTTTTATTGAGTCTTTAGCTTACTTTGGAGATATTCTTGCAGACTTCCATGTCTCATCAACTCTGTAATAATATAAATTGGATCTTCTAAAGTGCAAACAGCATAAAGCTGGATAAGCTTTGGATGTCTTAGACTCTTCATTATCTGTGCCTCCCTCAGGAAGTCATTTGGATCCATTGAACCTGAAACAAGAAAAGGAGGAAATCACTTTATGTTATTGAGGCATTCCTGTCCTCACAGCAGCCTGGTGGGAATCGCCGAGATTGCCTCCTGCCTCTCAGTAACAGAAGAGCATCAGTGTCACAAATCTTCAGAGTTATCAGAGGAGAGAATCAGTTCAGCCAGGGCAACCTAATTACTAGATGTGGTGTTGTATCAGGGATGTGCACTTTATATGTTATGACCYGTAGGTGAAAAACGGTTGATTTGGGCCCATGTGAAAAATGAAGAGCAAAGGAGAGACTGACAGTCTAATTGATAAAACAAGGCAGGCATCTGAAGAACACAAAGAGAAGACATCCTATCAACATGAACACTGGAGGACGCGATGGCTGCCGGATGGCTGCCCTGGCCTTGGTACCCACTGTGGGAACAGCTGAAAAACAACTCTAAAACAATGCTATTCTGCCAAATTCATATTCTTATTCCTGTAGGAACACAGGCTATGGGCCACATAGAAAACATTCAAGGGACATTTCCAAAAGATAGTGGCTTTTTTTTTTCCACCAATTTTACATGTTTAATGTGAAAATAATACTCAACATTTTCTCCCAGACTATTTGCTTCCACTACCACCAGAGCCTCAAAAGCTGGATCAAATGATTAGGGRGATGGCATTGAAGCATATTTTGAAGACTCATCTATAATTAAATTGTGTTTAGATGGTTCGACTCTGAGTCACCATGCAAGGTGCCCAGCAGTTAATGTCAGAAAAAATCTAAGAGGAGGAAGGATACCTGGAGTTGACATTTCATCAGTAATTTTTAAATCTTTTATTTCTTCTAGGCTGTGATGTTTCAGAAACATTACTGTAATTGAAGAAATACTGTCATTTCACATCTTAGTATTCACTATAGATGGTGCAAATATCATTTCTACTGATGTCCAAAGAGACCATTCCATTCATCATCCTCTGAATGTCAGAGACTCTACAACTGACATTAGAACCTGGGTGTGGATAAGCTTTGACAATTCAAGGTAGCACTATGACTTGTTTGTTAATGTCAAGTTAAGAAGAGTTTCATATGACCTACATACAGGTTATTTCACATAAACATTGAAACAGTCTACCTTTTAAGAGCCCAGAAGTTTAGGATCCAGGTCCATTCAAAACTCTGGAACCTGAAAAAAATCTTAGCTCTGTTACTGTTCCCTGTGCAATCTTAAGCAGGTTACCAAATCTCTCTGAACTTCAGTTTCTTTAGTTTCTTCATCCACAAAGTACAGCTAGTGATCCTACTAACATCAGAAAATCATTAACAGGATAATAACAATGCCTGGAAAATGTGTACTCAAAGATTGCTGACCATTATATGTATTATTATTAACATGCACACTCATAGGAAAACCAAACAGACCAACTGTAAATATTTTTCATTGACTGAGGAAAAAAGAGATAAGGTGTTAGAGAGGAAAAAAGTGTTTTCTTCTATTTTCTTTTCCATTCTATTTTTTCCTTTCTTTTTAGTTTCCTCAATTCTAGTTCTGACATTAAATTTAATCCACATAATCAAATAAGTTTAAAATTTGGAATCATAATAGAAAAATAACACTGGAAGRAAAAGAGACTTCGACACCAAAATAAAGTACTTTGTTCTTGGTTGGTATAATTAGTTTGTCTGGGATCAAATACGGATACCGTATGACTGCCCCCCTCAAAATATAATGATTCATGAAGGGTTCCGTGATAACAGAATTAGTATCATCACTCAGACTGTTTATGCAGGACACTTAAACCATGCCCAAGTCACACTGTCTGCAAGAGCTGAAATCATGATATGCCAGGAGCCWCTGTAGGTAGAGAACTCAGGGAACTCCTTCATGGCTATGCTGGTAGAGCAACAGAGACCCAATCTCAACTCAGTAATGCAACATTAAATATTAATTTTTGTCTGTCATAGCTACTGCAGGAGTTGATTTCAGGCTCATCTTTATTGCATGGTAGTCTGCTAAGCAATAAATAGCTGCTAAGATTGATRAATGGCCCCAGTGAAGTGAAGACATTTAACCAATCACCAAAGCTGTTTGTTGCTATTACACTGTAAATCAATAATAATTATTCCTGTTGGAAAGAAAACTATTGTGCTTTTTTTTTTTACTATAAAAAGATGATTTTTTGTTCTCTTTTGACCTCCAGAAGGCCTTCCTTAGAAAGCAATACTAGCAAGCATAGCCTGACGCTTTTCTTCTTTCTTTTCCTTTTTTGGGGRTGGAGGGAGGGAGGAATGATTAGATTAACAATAAATTTAAAATTTATGTCTCAATAGTTCAACAAGTTTAGGATTTAAAAGCACATATACATGATGACTTAAAATCTTGGATGCTGAAATAGATTGTCCTCACCTGAGTGATGGCATCTGGCCCCTTAAAAGTGCCTCTCTGTTGTTTCCTCTGCCAGATGTTAATGCTAGAACTAAACTCCTGCACCAGTGAATCTACAATTCAGGGTGTGCATCTGTCAGCAGCACCACAGAACCTAACGTTTATTAAAAAATCACTGCATATACTTTATTCATATTTACTCAATCCTCATACAATCCTATAAAGTGGGGACTATTTTAATTCACATGTCCAGATGAGGAGACTCAGAAAGATTAAAAAATTATATAAGTTACAGAGGACAGAGCCAGGTTTACCTTYATGCTCTTAACTGATAACACCACAAGGTCCCAACCTTTTCAGTCCATGGCATCCTTAGTGCATCAGTAATATTTTTATAGTATGCCAGGTTAAAATGCATATTTAATAGTTCAATTACTAAACAACTAAGAAGCATCCATCCTAATAACTTAATAGCCATTTGAAAAATTAATACAGGTAAATTAAGAGGAAAAAAATAATATTTATTTCATTCTTAACCACAGTTATTTACTAAAGTGATATAAGTACTATACAACTTCTCAAAATCAAGTAAGAGTTCAAACAGAAGTTCTGGATCCTGGAAAAATCTCAGCTCTGTTACTCTTCCCTGTGCAATCTTAGCAAGTTACCCAAATCTCTCTGACCTTCAGGTTCAGCTCTACCATCTTTATTTCCTGATCTGTGTCAATTTTTGTGTGTATCTTGACAATATTGGTCCACAGTGATCATCAAAAATCCAGCTTCACAAAAATATGATGTCAGAAAAAGGAATGTAACGATCTAAATCTGAATCTACAAACTACCTGAAGGTAGCAATTTGTGTTGTTTTGAAAACGTTTACCTCAAAACTTTTAAATATCCCACAGACCCCTGAGAATTCACTGTGATGCCTCAATGTGCCTTAGCTCAACAGTTTGGAAACAGTGCTATTACACACTCTGACAGCCAGCAAATCCCAAGGGCTCAAGTTCTGCCACCAGGAAGCTTTCCAAATTTCTAAGAACTCTGGGCTCAGCAAGTAACAGAGGGCCCCCAGAAAACTCATCTAGCCTGTAGAGTTGGAACCCATATCTGTTTTGTGGAATAATGAAAATGCTTGTAAGAAAAAAAAAGGAAGATTAATCTTTTGTTGCTGTTATTATTCTTTTCTATGTTATTAGAGGAAGATAGGAGACTGCCACAGTGATGTTGCACTTTCACAGAATGTCACTTCCATGGGGTCTGATATAATGGTGATAAGTCAAAAATCCCAGCTCTGCCATTTACTGTTTAATAATAATAATAATAATATAATAAAATTTTTATTGGTTACCTACTATGAGCCAAGCATTATGCAAAGCATTTGTACTAGTGACCTAATTTAATCTTCATAATAACCCTGCTTGGTATATCTTATTATTCCCCATCACATAAATGATAAAACTGAGAGAGTAGTTCAAAAATTTGCTCAAGATTTGAATACAAAGTCTTAGGAAAGTTATTTTTAATCTCTCTAAATTCTCTTATCCCACCTTTAAAAATGAGGGACTGTTCATTTTAGCATACTTCTTCTGCCTTCAAAGGGATAAGTGAAGATAGGAGAAGAAATACTTCCTGCAAGTTCAAATATGGGATTCTTTAGATGAACCATTTTATCTTTTAGTCATAGTCATTTGGCATCTCATAAAACAGTTATTCCCTGAATATCACCAAAGTTCCATCTGACTTTTCAGTAAGTGTTTATAGTCAGTGGGGTTTTTGTTTTGTTTTTGTTTGTTGTTTTGTTTTGTTTGTTTTTGTTTTTTAACTAAGATAGAAATGAAAGRGAAGAAGGACAATGGAAGACTGAATCCTTTAGATAAGAAATGTGTTGCTGGAATCTTCATCTGAGAACCTTTTATGCTTAGCTAATCCAAGGAGCGTGTTGGCCTTTATATTTTAAAGCTTGTCCACATGTTATGGTCACCTGGGGTGGCAAGAGAGATGACAACACCTGTTTGCTGCCAGCACTGACTGTCCCATGACCTCTTGGGCATTTTACAGTGGCAAATTGAGCCCATAAAAATCCACGTATGCCATTTAATCTTTAATATTTTCACACCTGGTTTTAACGTCTTTACGGCCACTGGAGTAGTGTTGTTCCAGAGGCCTTCCCAAACTTCTCCAAACTGACCGGATCCCAATCGCTTCAGAAGCTGGACAGAGTTGCGGTCTATCTCCCACTGGTCCACGGTCTTATAGGACAAATCAAAAGGAGTTGGGACTTGTATCTGTTTTGCAGAATAATGAGAATATGTGTAAGAGAAAAAGGAAGATTAACATTCTGTTGTTCAAAATAATAGTGTAGGTACTTGTTGAGGGAAATATTACTTTTAAAAACAAAAACACTAGAAGTTACATTCTAATTCCTTGAAAATAGAAAACAATTGTCGGAGATTCTGCGTTGTTAACTCTTTAGATTCATTCTCTCTCAGATCCTGCACTTTGATGTCCATCTGTAGCCAATACCATGCTCACACACAGGTCTGCAATGATGTGTCCGCCTCTCTGCTCAGCTAAACCCTCCCAATTTCAGCCTCCATTGGAGTTCCACTCATTCACAAGGCCTTCTCAAACTCTGGCTGTAMTATTAACTAGATATAGTATACATTTCTGCAAAATATGTATTATATATTTTTGCAAAATAAAATCAACTCATTTTTGTTTCATTTGTTTGTTTGTTCATTCATTTAATAAATAAAAATTTTTAAGTAGGAACTATCGGCCCTTCAGCAAACAAAACGGGCAAAGCCCCTGCCACCTTAGAGTTCGTAGTAAAGATTTCCATCTGACACACTTTCTCTGTTGCAACTATGAAACTCACTGTAATGGCACAAAATCAGCCAACAATAGTAAATGAATGAGCATATCCCTTCCAATAAAACTCGTTTACAAAAATGAATATGAAACAGATAGTTTTCCTCTTCCTGCCTTARGTAAACAAATGATAAATTTCTTTTTCCTGAACTGATATCACATGGCAAATACTTAAAAACAGTTTGAAAGCAGAAAGTAGTTCACCTTTAAGCATGGTTTCTCCAGCTTGACACACAGGCCATCACTTGTGGTGGTGTAGTAGTTCACGAATTCATTCAGTGTTGAGAAAGTTTTTCTCCGGGTAAGGAAAAAGCCCCCTTGGTCTAGTGTCCTGATTCTGTAGTGTTTCACAACTCCTTCATCTAAAACTGGAACCCAAAATAAGTCCTGTTAATAAACTTATTGCCAAAGCCAAGTAGAATCATTCTGTGAAGATTTTTCAATGTGTGGCATGAAATTTATATAGAATTCAACATTTCTCAACTTTGTCTCAGAAGAGTTAAGGAAGTTGATCAAGGATACACAGAAAGAAAGATTAACATTCTGTTGTTCAAAATAATAGTATAGGTACTTGTTAAAGGAAATATCAAGAAAGAAAGAAAAAAGGGAGGGAGGGAGGGAAGGAAGTAAAGAAGGAAGGAAGGAAGGAAGGAAGGAAGGAAGGAAGGAAGGAAGGAAGGAAGGAAGGAAGGAAGGAAGGAAGGAAGGAAGGAAGGAAGGAAAAAAGGAAGGAAGGAAGGAAGGAAGGAGAAAAGGAAAAAGAATTTCAAGATCCTAGCACTAAAGGAAGTACAAGATAAAAAATAAAGAAGTGAGGTTAATACTAAAACCATTCCATGCTTTGAGGACTACACTTGATTAAAAAAGCCATAAAATTAACTCTTATTCCAGAAATTCAAGGTAAAAAAAAATCTTGTCAGTTTCAGAAATCACAGTGTCCCTGTGATAAAATCACAAAGGTGTTTAGAAACAGTTGAACTCTTTCTGGTAATTTTTCCATGGAGTTTGATAACATGAGACTGAAATAGAACAAAGAGGGTCCTCAGTACTATCTTACAATGTTATAAGGGACTCTGCAGGGCCACTCACTGTACTCACTGGCCTCAATGTAGGCTGATACCAGAATGTCCCAGCACAGCTCAATAAAAGCAATTCCACAGGTCCTAAAATGATGCAGTTCACATGTGCAAATTTCCTGCAGCTTTGACTAATCCAAAGATAAATCTCATAGGATCTGAGAGAATAAACAAYCTGCATCATTTTTAGGTAGTCTGACTTACAGTGAATATTTTATTATTTCTCCTTGCTACCAACCATTGTTCTTTCTTCTGTTATTGGCACTTCAATCTTTCGCATAAAACCATTGCTTCTCTAAGAACATATGATGCAGAGAGACTTGGTGCCCACCTTGAGTTGAGGGAGGCCTAATCAGACCAGTTAAATCCAAGGAGCACCAATTCCAGGGTTCACTTCAGGGAGCTCCAGGAGGTCAAGAGGAGTTTTATTGCTGCTGTTGTTTTTGTTTTTGTTTTTACTGATGGGAATTTGGAGCTATTGGCAGAATCCTTGCCTCCAGCATGGAGCAAGCTTACATGAGGAGAGAGGTAGCCCCTGGAGCCAGCCAATTCTGGCTTTACAGCTGCAAGAGTCGATTATTTTTTGCTTAAATTAGTTTGAATTGGGTTTTCTGCATTTGCATTCAAAATATTGACTGGTGCAATTCATACCTATTCTTTCACTTAGCAAAGTTATTGATGAGCATTGAACAGCATTTACTGTGAATGTAGCTTTCTGAGTTCCTTCTAAATATAGAAACTTATGCTCCAATAACCAGGTTTAACTGGAGCAAAACTTTCATGAAAGGAAAGAAGATGTTCTCATCCCAACATGGAGGTGTACTGAAGGTATGCCCATGGCTAGGAAAAGAATGTCTTCACAAAAAAAAAAAAAAAAAAAAAAAAAAAAAAAAAAAAAAAA